CGTCAGCCAATATTCGAACCCGCGTCTACCTTGATCAGCCAGGGCCAGGGTTGATGTTCCAAATCTAAACACATCCTGATAAGATTTTGCCAGAATAAAGAAAAGACATCCTGATAAGATTTTGACTTGACATTCTTCTCAAGTCATGCACTATGTGGTGCCAACAAAGACGATTGGTAAGTACTAGTACTCCGTAAATAAATATAAGACGTCTTAGGTCAGAAGCTGATTGGTTTGCTACCACCGTTTGGCTGTCAATATTTGGCAAGCTAACATTTGGTAAAATCAAAAGTTGCCAACATTTGACAACCGTTTATAAGATTGACAACGAAAGTTGGTATGCAACCAATCTCTAACCAACATTTAATAGTTAGCAAAATTTGGTATCAAATCAATTAGCCTCTGAATACGTAGCTTCAGGATGTAGAAACAACAAAAAGCTCTTAAATTTCCGCGTGAAATTCTCCTACAAACTCTCGTCGGCGGTCAACCATGCTGTCGTGGGATCTACTCCGTCCGTCCCACAATACAAAAACGTTTTTGACATTGTTCTTAGTGTCAAAAACGTTGTTGTATCATGGAAGGGACCGAGGGAATATGTATCACCAGCTAGTACTTCCTCCGTTCGAAAATACTTGTCCTAGAAATGGTTATATCTAGACTTGTTTTAGTTCTAGATACAACTATTTCTAAGACAAGTATTTTCGAACAAAGGAAGTAGTATAGTACGTGCCCGTGCGTGTCGCGACATGAGTGCTTACGAAGAGAGAAGATCACATGAAAGATGAATCGAATCTTATGGGACGGTACTGGTGCACCGTAGACACCACTGGTGTTTCGGACTGTAGCCGGCAGCCCTGTGCAGTCGATCCGATTGGCCCCGCCCCCGCGGCTACGGGAGAAGAGACGAGGCCAGGGCAGGCGCCCCGCTGCCGCTGTTGAGCTGCTGTCGCACGTCGAGAGGAGGGCACTGCCGGGAGTATTTCTCTTGTACCGGCGGTACTGTTTGGCCGCGACCCCGCGTCGCGCCAGGGAGCGAATCCGCCGTGCGGATCGCCTCGCCGTGGCCCCGGGCCTGGATACGGCCTCCGGTCCGGGACCGGCGAGCTCCGACGCCTCGCCTCGGCGGCTAGCGGCGGAGCACGTAGCGCGGCGGCTTTTGCAGCGCTGCATCAGTTCGGTCGCATGCCTGCCGTCGTGCTGCTGCTGCGCGGCGCAGGAGGCGGTCGCCTGACTGCTCGCTGCGTACGGCGGCCGTGGCGGTGGCGACGTACCGCCTCATGCCGTGCGGTGCGGCGGTCATCTTCACTTTACCGGGCCGCCGGGGTACGCAGGCAGTACTCGTTTTGGACGATGCGTGCAGTGCAGTGCAGTACAAGCGCTGAGGTGAGTTTGGACTTTGGGCCAGGTTCGTGACGACGCGGATCCGATCCGGGCTGTCACGTTTCGGACCCGTGTCCTATGAGTGATGATGTGAGTGTAGTCGCTGCCATGATCATGTGATGTTCACTCGGCCGGCGTGGGGGAAGGTGGCCAGTCAAAGGCTTCAGACATGGGCGTCTCCCGGTGCGGTGCACCCAAGTGCCAGGTCTCTCTCTGCATGGTTCCGGAGAGCGAGCGGCAGCCAGTGATGTGACACATCGGGACAAAGCAAGTAAACACACGGTGATGATGACGTGTCAACTTGAGAACGTCTCCTCGATTTTGGCATGTGGCACATACGCAGAAGATTTTAGTTGCTCATATCTTCCTCCTAGCATTTTTTGTAGTTGTGTGCGTGTGTATGCCTCTACAATGTGTTTGGCATCTAAAAAAAACTAATTTTCTAAGGCAGAGTCTTGGAGTATTTCGATCCATAGGCAATATAGGCTTGAGTCAGCAAATAATTTTCATTTGCATTATCCATGGAACACCTTATATGTACTCCCTCCGCTTCTTTTTAGTCTGCATATAAGATTTGGTTAAAGTCAAACTTTGTAATGTTTGATCAATTTTATAGAAAAAAATATCAACATCTACAATACTAAAGCTATATGGCATGAAAATTAATTTCATGATGCATCTAACAATGTTGATTTCATATTGTGAATCTTGATTTTTTTTTATAAATTTAGTCAAAGTTTGACTTTGACCAAATCTTATATGCAGACTAAAAGGGAACGGAGGGATTACGTGAAGAAGTTATTTCTCAATAATCAAGTGATGAAGTTTGGCTGTCCATGTGAAGAAAAAGCTCTTTAGAGGAACCATCCCTTTTTCCTAAGGCTAGGGGGCATCACATCTTGTCTTATAAAAAACTAGTTATCTTTCTGGAAGGGGATCTAAGTTGTGCTCCCTAGAAAATAATTGGCCAGTGAGAACCACTTTACAATAGCGGGGTGGTAGACACATGAATGTATATATCTCCGTATTTGTGCCTATTTTTTTTCACACAGTCCCGATGGTGAGACATAGACGTCGCAGTCAGCCATTGTGTCTCCGACAAGCCCAAGCTAGGGCTTGGCCGGAGACAGGGCCACCGCGGCCTGCTACTGGCGTCGAAGGATATGATTGAGGTTGACTGGTTCGGGTGCGGGGGTTCCCGACGCTAAGGTGAATGTGATGTTCGGGGGGAAGGTCGGGGTGGCTACAACTTGGCAGAGGGGCGGTGAAGCACATGCGATAGCATAACCACATAGGTGGCGGGGTCCTGCGGTTCAGCTGCCGTCAGGGGAGGTAGGGTCGTTGGGGTAGAAGGAGGAAGACGACAGAAGAAGAAGAAGGGCACTCGGTCATCGGATCCCTGATAGAACGATACAGAAAAAGGTGACCGGAAGCCAATGAAAATCTAATCACCTTTGAAATATTCCGCGCCATAAGTCTCACTCGTACGGGTTTAAACTCTACTGCATTTTTGCATCACAGGGTGTTCGGTGTGAATTTTGTGGGATCACCAATTTATCCCTGATACCCACCAATTGTTCTCCCATGTGTTACTAGTAGTGGACGTGTTCTTGCGCATGTCTTTCTATAAGTGACCCAAAATGACAAGAATACCAGCATATGGTTAGATTTTGCAGAATTTGATCCAATCACTCTTGGTTTCGCGATTTGCGTGTGGACGTTCTTACCCTTTACTAGACGATATCTTCTCGAACGGAACATAAAATGTTAGCCGACAGAACAATAGATTAATCCATCTAATGCAGCGGTAGGAAGTAGCTAGAAACAGTCTGATCTATCCCTGGCCATACCTCGATATATATCCCATGATTACATATATTCCTCTCACGGCCATGCATCTCGCCACATGAGATCACAGTACATGATCGCATACGGACACACACTCGAGTTAGCTGATACCCGTTCCAGCTTCACCCCATCCACCGCATTACTCCACTAAGATCAGTCTATATATAGCATTATCACCGTACCCGTTGCAACCCACATGCCCAATCACATGCGACGCCCTGCATGATCGTAAATAGTACGATCGATCGAGATGGTTCTGCTCGGAATTAGTACGTGAGTTATTTCGTTTGACAAACCCACGGCCGTACGCACGAACCAGATACAGCTAGCTCCTGCATTCAAACCCGAGCTTACGGTGTACTGAACGATCTCTAGTTATTTTGTGTTGGTTCGTTGTGTACTTGTGTTGCTCTTCATCTCTCATCAGTAAATGATTATTTATGGGACTTCGTACTTCGGCAAACCGGCCACAATGCCTGGCAAGCCTTGCTCTGTGGTAATGTGCATATCTCCCTTGCTTAATCTAAGGATATAGGCAACCATTCTTAATAATATTTATGTATTTTTATGTGATGTTATAGGATTTTAGAACTATACTACTGCAGTCTATAATAGAAATGGTGAACGAATCTAAAGTTGGAGGCATCGATCTGGTCTATATACCAAAGAGTAACATTTAAATAGTATTACCTCAATCCCATGATATAAGAGCGTTTTGACACCAAAACACTTTATATTATGGAACGAAGGGAGTAACTGATATGTCTCTAACTAATTTTTATTAATGCAAAACTACAAGTAGAAATGCATAAACTATGATCAATAGTATGCGATACCTATATAAGTAAAAATTGCAGGTGCCGCATATTATCGATCGAATGAGATAGGAGACCAAAAGAGGACCATGTGGCTGTCTGGAAAATATATTCGAGAAGTGATAACCCTGGCTGTTTGAAAGATTACACTGCACTCATTTATGCAGCACAAATCAGGCTGTTTGGAATATGTTGGCTCATCAGAATGGATTAAAACATGATGAACCCTCAGCGTCTTTGGAACACAGGAATAAATTGCCATGGCTTAGTACTTCCTATCTTGGACCGAAAAAAAGGCAATAAAGTTGTTTCATTGCACCGCTAAGAAGCACAAAAATTCTACAAGATGTTTGACCTCTTGGTAAAAGAAAATCTGAATTAGTACGTAGGAGAATAATGAATTTTGGAAGTTCAATTGTTCTGAACCAAATACTCCATAGGAAAGGAAAATCATATACTCCCTGCGCTCCATATTACTTGGCGCTCAAATGGATGTATGGATCGAAAGGGAGTACGTATATTTTTATTGCGAGTCCCGCCATTCAGAGGAGTGTAGTGGGGCAACCTAGCCTTCTCAAGCAAGTTTATTACTCTCCATCTTTCATGAATAAACTCAATGAGTCCTTGCCAGATCAAGCTAAACTAAGTGCAAAGGGAAATTAAGCATGCATGGCTCATTTGTACTAGTTCATAGCCCATATGCATTTCAAGTGGACAATCAAGTATACCAAGTAAAGACACGAGCCTCCTTTGAGGGTAACAACAAAATCAATTGATTAATTACCAAAATAACACATCATTAGGATCGATCACTGTTAAACACAATTAATCTCAACGTCAAGAATCAACCGGCCGATCGAAGCAAAAAATGCCGAAGAAATCAGCGAAGAAGAACGAGTTAAATTATCCCAGCCTAGCCATGCCATCCCACTACACGTAGGAAGAAGAGAACTGCTACATGCACATCTCGCTGCCTCTCACCTCCTCGTCGTCCTCACCGTCGCCACCCATCGCCGGCGACATGCCCCCCGCGCCTCCACCTCCACCTCCGCCGCCACGCGTGGTCGACGACGACGTCTGGGCGCCGGCGCCCCCGCTGCCGCCGACACCGGCCTTGTGGTTGTGCATCCAGACCTTGAAGACCTGCCTGGTGACCCCGATCTCCCGGCAGAAGCGCGCGACCTCGTCGTCCCCGGGCGCGCGGCCGGGCTCGCGCTTGGGCATCCGCCACCCCAGCCGCTCCGCGAACCGCAGCATCCGCGCCTTCTGCTCGTCGGTGAACTTGGTCCGCGTCCGCCGCCTGCTGCCCCCGCCGCTGTGCGACCCGCCGCCGTCGCCGCCGCCCATGGCGACCCCAGGCCCAGAGGGGCCGGCCATTGCCAGGTGGTGGTGCATGTAGCCCGGCGGGGCGCCGGGAGAGGGCAGCATTAGCGGCGCGTGCTGGCTGGCGGCGCCGGGAGAGGCCGTGCCGTCGAGGAACGCCTTCCGGTGGAAGTTGCGGTGGCAGCCGCAGGCGGCGCAGAGGAGCGCGGCGGGCTGGCTGTCGTCGGGGGTGTACTCGCAGCAGCCGTCGGAGGCGTAGGTGCCCAGCTTCGCCGCGTGGTTGCGCAGGCACTCCCTGTACACCTCTCGCGCCCGCTCCTGCTGGTGCTGCAGCTGCTCCATTGCTCTCTTCTCCCTCCCTCCCTCTTTCTTGCCTTCTTCTTCCTCTTCCCCTTTGCTCCTCTCTCTCTCTCTCTCTCTCTCTCTCTCTCTCTCTCTCCTTCTACTATGTGGCCCGTTCAGCAGCAGCTGTGCATGCTACGTGGGAGCTTGAGAGGAGCTGTAAGTTTGTGCCGGGTATGTAGTGGAAGAAGTACTGCTGGTACTCAAGCATAATGTGGAGATGTGCAAAGCTTGTTGTGGTGGCTCGGCAGTTCGGTGCACGTCGAGATGGTAGATTTGCCGCGTGTTGTTCTTGATTCTTGCAATATATTTTGTGATCCTGGCGTTTTGGGTGTAGGGGTACTGCTTCTTGCTGCCGCAAGCAAAGGAGGACAGACAGGGCACTGTTTGACTTTCCTCTGTGCTGCCCTTGGAGGGTAGCAGGTGCAATGTTTTGAGCCAGAATCTTTTCAAGATACGATTACACATGGAGTATCTTCCCATGTCGTATTTAGGATGTGCATGTACTCCCTTTGATCCTTTTTACTCTGCATATAAGAATTGTCTAAAGTCAATCTTCATAAAGTTTGACCATATTTGTATGGAAAAATATCAACATCTACCATGCTAAAGTTATATAATGTGAAAATTTAATTCATGCCGCATCTACTGATGATATTGATTTCACATTATGAATGTTGGTATTTTTTTCTATAAAATTGATCAAACTTTACGAGGCTTGACTTCAGATAAATCTTATATGCGAACTAAAAAGGACCGGAGGGAGTACTTTGTATACACAAAAGCATGATACATAAACAAATGTAACTTCACGAATGCATTGTGTTGAAAACTAACTGTAATGTGCATATATAAGCTGACTAAGTACATTTCTTGAATCTCTTGCGCTAGCGCGATTCAGCAGACACAACAGATCGCCCGATTCTATCATATGATTGGATATGTTAAATAATTGTTAGCAGAATTTTTTGTGATCTCCAATTCCTTCACGATTCTTCAAGGAATCACGAATGAGCTGATTAGAGCATCTCCAGCACAAGAGAGAAATTCGTTGCGACACCTAGGTAGGGGAGGGGGGTGGGGCAGGATTGCCTTGCGACTCAGAAATTCAATTGACACATGCATGTGTTTAGTGCTTGAAACTTGATGAATTTATCCATATTTTATTAAATTTTAACTGTTCAAACTTGGTGAAGTTTTTAAAATGTGTCAAAATGTATTTGAGAGTTGTCTTGTTTCAAAAACCATGTCGCAAGGAACACAAATATGGATACAATACAAAAAACTGCATCCATGGACCCCATATAAGGTAATTAAGGCCTAAACACATGCAGGGGCGAACTAAGTTTCTGAATTGTGATGCAATTGTGCGGTTCACAAACGTCCAGGAAAAGTGAGTTGGTCATCTATCTTGGAATGAGATAACCAAGGGAGAATAAAAAGGGGTATGTGAGACTTGGTGCATGGTGGCGCCCATCCCTCCATATCTATACCAGCCTATTAACGAAAATTCTGCATGCATGACATTTGCCCTAGTGGTTGTATCGTACTTTGCAACCTTGCTTGGTTGCCCTTGCTTTGTTCTCTCTTCGTAAACCTTTGCTATTTATAGTACTGGTGGTGATTGGCTTTATTTATAAAATCGGGCGTCAAGCTTTTTTTTCAAAAAAAATACTCAAGCAAATTCGTCCATCCCTCACATATTGTTTGCAGTTCGCCCATAAAACCCTATTAAAATGAAAATATTGCTATTAAATTGTGTGTTGTCATATGCGAAAAAGTGATTTTCTTTCTGGATTTGTAAGTATTTTTAGTTATTTAATAGAGAACATACCACCTCTCTTTGAGCCAAAAGTAGAGCATTTCCAGCAGTCTTCATACGTAAAAAATCTAGGGTCTATGAAAAGTTGGGCAAAAAAGTGCTTCAATAGATGTCATAAACATGAATCTTTGTATTGGATCACATATACTCTATGTCTCTATCAAACTTCCTTTACATCTAGAGGAAGATGGCCCTTCCCATAAACCTTCCCATAAAAGTGCCACGTCACCGCATGGCGGCCATACCCACTGCGCCGTCGCGCAGCCGCCGTAGCCGCTGTCATCACCGCCGCATCACCCGTCCTTCCGCTGTCCACCACTGCTCCATTACCAAAAACCATTTTTAGGGAAAGCTTTTATGGGATCTGCTAAAACACCTCACTTGTGAAACTATTTTTACATGGATTTGTCACGAAAACTGTTGGAGATGCTCTAATTCGCCTCTCTTGCACACTAGTTAATACTCCCTTCGATCCATATTACTTGTCTTAGATTTGTCTAGAGACAAGTAATATGGATTCAGAGGGAGTAGAACATTCCATAGTATTACCGCAAAAGAATATATTATTTGAGGGTGCAAAAGAAATAATTAATGTGGGGTCCTTTTGCTTGCTATATTTATAAGAACAATGCTCCATAGTACCCCCCTCTATCATTCCTACGTCGGCTCCGCTCTATTATACACATGATGGCTATTAACGGGAGTGGTACAAGGTTGTATAGAGTTTAGTAGGGCAAGGCACTCATGGAACACCTTGCCTAATTTGGTACTAACGGATAGGTTCTTTGGAGAGGGACAAAAGAGCCGGTGGCTGATATACTATAATATTTGAATAATTAGCTCTCGGATCGAGTGCACTGATTACCAGCTCAAAAAAGTCAGTGCCCAGATTAGGATGTGAAATAATTAAGAGTATAAAAATAGGTAAATAGCTAATCCGTATTGGAAGTTGTGCCGTGAGACCAAAGAGCGTGTGATATACAAATGCGGCCAGCTGGTTCCATAACGTGGTTTTTTGTCCGCGGAAAGTGCTCCAATCCAACACTACTCCATGCGTCTGCATCGTATTCTAATCCAGAAAAATATAAACATGTGGTACATGTAGTTGTCTATGTGGAAGCTCGTCATTTCTCCGCGTGCCATCAAATTCAACATTAATACAGAAGAGAGATGATGCATATTTATGTACTTCCTCCGTTTTTATTTAGTCCGTGTATTAGCTATGGTCAAAGTCAAGCTTTGTAAATTTTGACAAAGTTTATAAACAAAAATATTATAACATATACAATAACATACCAATACCCTTAGATTCATTAGTGAATGTGCTTTCATATCATATAGATTTGTTATGGTAGATGTTTATATTTTTTTCTATAAGCTTGGTCAAACTTTATGAAGTTTGACTTCGGTCAAATCTAATATGCAGAGTAAATAAAAACAGAAAAAGTATTTTAGAGTAAGGCACATAATTGTGTGTGTAGTCAATATTTCAAAACTTGAACCATATTATGTTATGTGTACTACTACTCTCTTTGTCCTAAAATGCAAGACGTTTTTTGACCGTAGGTAGTACTCCATTCGTCCCAAAATAAATGTCTTAACCTTAGTACAACTTTGTACTACAAAGTTGTACTAAGGTTAAGACACTTATTTTGGGACGAAAGAAGTATCTTTTTAGACATACTTTACCTCACATATAGGTTTTTCCAGATCTTTGTACATACTCCCTCCGTTCGAAAATACTTGTCTTAGAAATGGTTGTATCTAGACTTATTTTAATTATAGATACATCTATTTTCAAACATTTCTAGGCCAAGTATTTCCAGACGGAGGGAGTATTACATTGTACCTAGACGCAGCAAGCCAATGCATGCATGAGGATTTTAGACAAGAATCAAATGCACCCAACTCCTGGTTGGCATGTGTAGATTGTCTAAATGCAAAGTGAAATGGAACAGAAGAAGTCTATTGCAAGCAGTAAAGTTCGAGCCGGTCAATAATTTGCTGGAGCAAACCCTAATCTTGATCGACTGTTAATTTGGGTATACGACAAGATTGTGGTTAATCTGACAACCGGTGGGCGAACGCCATCCAGATGATCCCACCCATATAAAAATGTGAACCCACAGTTCCACACACACACACACACACACACGGAGCCTCCGTCGCCGTACGTCCTTGAGCTTGAGGTCTATAGCCCGCCCATAGGCATCAAAAATGCTACACCTACGTAGGCTCTTACTTAATGTTAGGTAATCTTCCTTCCTATATACTAATCAGCCCCCCTGATTTTCATGGGATGGGCCTGGGCCGTTTTTACATCCAACCAAATCAGGCCACATAAGCTTTTACGTAAATTTCGTAAGACCTTTTACGTAGATGTAGCAAAACTCCATAGGCATGCATGCAGGCAGGCATACTCGGCCGCGAATGCTTCCAACCCACGCGCGACAAGGCCACCAACGGTTGACAGCACGAAACGCGAGAAAGCCCCCCCTACTACTCCAGCGACCAGCAGGCCACTGAACCTGAGGCTGAGCCCTGACCCGCCCGGTCGGCCTATGACCGCGACGGCGCTTGTAGACCGTCCTTCCCCTCCCCCGCGCAAAGTCCAACCCTGCCGCGTCCGGCGCGCTGGTGCGGCGCGGTGCCGCGCGCGCATCAGTGCATGCACGCGCACGGACGCTGGCCGGGCCACGGACCGGCGCGTGCGTCGAGCGGCGGCACATGGGCACATGCCGGCGTGTCGCGGGGATTCGACCGATCGCCCGGCCGCCCGCCGCGGCGACCCACCGGCATGGGCCGCGGCACACGCAACGTGGGGGACGGATGGGGGAGGCAGATCGTCCTCGCGCCACCACTCAGCCGACTGTGCCGAAAACGGCTTAGAAAAGTTATTTTTACTATAATAAACGGCTTAGAAAAATTAGGCGATCTTCCACGTCAACCCTCAAACAACAGCAATTGTCCGGACCGCGTGGTCTGAGTGTATTGTACCATCCAATGCGGCTCTGTATCGGCACGTTGAGTTAAGCGATCCGGATCATGTTCTTCCAACAAACTGAAACAAAATATGAGGGATTTTGTGGGAGTTTGGACGTTCGTCTAGTTAATCAAAAGGCATCACGTACCGTCTCTATTTTACGTCCGCTCAGAATGGCTAGCATTTGACAGAAGC